GCCCCCGCGCCCACCAGCGCGGACTCCGACGATAATCCAGACAGCACCGCAAAGTACAATCAGGCCTGCAACCTACGGTGGCATCTCGCGCGCCACCTCGGCCAACACTCCGCCACCGTTGGCCATGCCCGAGCTGCCAACCGTCGCTTGTCCATTTGGGTGCCGCCGAGGATCCAAGTTGGCATAGAGGCCACCGTGCACGGCCAGGTGCAGCACCCCATCAACGGCCTACGTGGTGTTGTCCGAGGCAAATCAGATGACTATCCAGGACATTGGACCGTCACGCTCTGCTCTGGCGATACCGCCCACTTGCGCCCTTCCAGCCTGGCCGTCTATCACCCCGCGCCATGCCCAGAGGTACCGGCACGCGCACTTCTCCGGCGGCACTAGCCCAAAGCCCCCGAACCATCTCCCCTCTCTCGCCCAGCCTTGTAGCTTACCAGAGGAGGCAGGGATAAGGACGAGGCAGGGATAAGGACGAGGGAGGAAGCGAACACGACCACGACCACCACGACAACGACGCCAGCAGCAGCGCCTCACCGCCGGCTGGCGTCCCAGTCGACCCTCCTGCTGGACCCTCCGCGGCGACCGCCCTAGACGACCCCGCAGACCGCCCCCATAGGACTACTTCGCCCTCCCACGACCATGCCCGTGCCGACCCTCAGCAAGGCTGCATGAGCAGGCCCAAGGCGGATTATGCGACGATGGACGCCCGCGCACGGCACCACCCTACCGCCACGCTCAGAGGCCACGCAGGTGGCGTACCGACACCAGTCGTGCGACCAGCCACGGTGGCCACAGCAGGCCGACGCCACAACAGTCCGACACCACACCCCTGCACCGTGAGCACACACCCCGACTCCACTGCTTTCCGACCACACAGACTGACTCCGCGGCAGCCCGACTCCACAGTTCGCCCCCACAGCCGGCTGACTCCCCAGGCCGACAGCCCACAGTCTGGTTCCACAGCAGACCGACTCCACAGCAGTCTCCAACAGCAGTCCGACTCCACAGCAGTCCGACTCCGCAGTCCGACTCCAGGGCGCGCAGGCTCTGAACACGATGCCACCCACGCCACGCCCCAGGCGGCCAGAGGCGTGCTCGACATCAGTCGCACGCACTGTGCCAATTCCGCGCAGCAGTCCGACTCCACAGTCCGACCTCAAAGGGCGCCTCTTCATCGTGGCCCTGCCGAGTCCCACTGCGACACACGAGCAGACCTACCCCGGCACACCACGGGTAGCCCAACGACACTGCGTGGACCGTCCGGTGACCACACCACACAGCACAAGACCTACGAGGCTTCCCGAGCCGACCCTCGACTCAGCACGACCAGCCCAACGACGACGTTGCGCGTGCAGTCGAAAGACGATGCACGAACAGGTCAACCGCTAGGCACGTCGTCGGCGTCGGTGTCGTCGGCGGTGTCGCCGCTGGAAGGACTAAACGACGACTCAGCCCGTGCAGACCTTCGCCTCTACGAGGCCATCTCCGCCATCTGGGCTTACAACCTCGAATGCGTTGAAAACTTTCGGACATTTCTACCTCCAGGCGTTATATGTACCGATCGCGAGGCCGAGCAATTAGGAGTCGAAAGTGAGGCCTCTTATGGCGAGCACTTCACCCGGGAACACAGCGGCACCGTTTTTAACCTTCGCCGCGACGCCGTCGCCGTTCAGCTCGACAACGGCCTCACGGTCGTTGTGCAGCTCGTCGGCGTGGCTCCATTCTGCGAGTTATGCGACGACAGCGACGATGATAACGACCCTGGCCTGGTTGAAGACGACGTCGACGCTGACCTCTTGTGGCGGCATTCGGAGGGAGAGGACGTGGCAGGTCCTCCAAACCCAAACTGTTCAAGAGGCGAGCAGGTCACGAGTACCGACCCGTCCAGCACCTACTGTGGGCACACCAGCATGGCCATGGACGACTCCAGCGAAAGCGTGGCCGTCCAGCTCGCTGATGGCCTCACGGTCTTCACGCGCCACTCCAACGTGGTCGGCTTTTGGTCGACCTTCCTCGCCCGTGGCGACGGCGACCACGCTGGCCCCGCTGACATCCTCTCTGCTCTTTGCCAGGGCACCCTGCTGCACGCCCCTCCCCCCGTCCAGCTCACCCTGTCGAGCAGCACACAAAAACTGACGCAGCGTCTAGGCCAACCGCGGTGCGCCCGTAAGGTCTCCAACAGCCTTCCCGCTGACACCTGCCCGACCGCCTCGGGCTCCCTCTCTGCCATCCCCGAGGCGCATGGCCCCACCCCCTCCTCCTCCTCCCCCTGCTCACCCACGCTTGGGCCCACGCAGATGAGCCAGGACGAGGAGGAATGTGGCGACGGGGATGATGTTGGCCGCGAGCAGGTCGTACTCGATGCCGGCCCCCATGCCGCCGCGATGATTTACGACCACGAACAGCCCCACGACGTTGCAACGGCCGGTGATCACGCTGTTGGCGTACCGACTTCAGTCGTACGACCAGCCGTCGCGGCCACGCCAGGGCGACTCCACGGCCGTCCGACGCCACAGTCCGACTACACAGCGCGCACACAGTCCTACTCCACAGCAGACCGATCCATTTACCACTGACGGCCCCGTTGCATCGGGCGCGTCGCTTCCTTGCCTCACCAGGACGCTGCCCCCCCTGTGTGAGCCGCGCCCACAGCTGTAGTGGTGTTGACGCCTGTCGCACTCACCGCTGTTGAGGCCGCCCTGCAGCAGCCGCAAAATTCACAGCGGGAGTGCCGCTCACTGGCGCACCCTCACGCTCACTGCACCAGCTTGGCTGCCACGCGTGTTCCACCGCCCACTGTTGAATACTGCATCTTGCGCCCGCATAGGGCCTCCACCACGACCGAAGGCCCCACTTCTTGCCAGCCCGATTGCCCGCGCGGCCACGCGTCATCGGGACCTGGCTGCGGCGACGGGGGACGCCCCGTCGTTCGCAGGCCGCTCAGCGGTCAACCCCTTGTCCCCCGGCCGCCGACCGGGGGCTTCGCCGACCGGGGCCCCTCTCCCATGCGGGGCGCCGAGGACACGCGGCGTACCGCCTGCTCAGAACCCCGTCACTTCCTTCAGTTGCTTCGCGCCGAGGTGTGGTCGTTTCAGCGCTCCCCGTACTTTACGGTGCGCACCACCGCCAAGAGTGCGATGACGGCCTTGGCTACCGCAGTAGCCGGCTGTCGACGGGACTCGCGCCTATCCGTCCGATCTCTCCTCTCTCTCTCTCTCTCTCTCTCTCTCTCTCTCTCTCTCTCTCTCTCTCTCTCTCTCTATATATATATATAGATATATCTCTCTATCTCTCTATCTCTCGTTCTCGCTCGCGCCGTCTCTCTCTCTCTCTCTCTCTCTCTCTCTGTCTCTCCCTCTCTCTCTCTCTCTTTTCTCTCTCTCTCTCTCATTATCTTTCTCTCTCTCTCTCGCTCTATCTCTCTCGCCGTATACTGTATCTCCCCGCCCAGGCCCCTTCCCCAGCCGCGGCAGCACGGGGCCCAACAGACGATCAGCTCGGCTCGCGTAGTTCGGGGCTCAAGCGCAGACGTTCGCCTTCAGGAGCGCTGCGCGGCGGCGCCCTCGAAGTGTTTCCACATCATCACCGCCATCCTCATCATGAGCACCAGTATCACCACCATCCGCACCCGCACCATCATGATCACCAGCATCATTACCATCGCCACCCTTGCCAGCATCATCCTCAGAATTATCAGTCTCACCATCATCATCAGCAGCAGCACCATCACCATCATCATCGTCATCATATTCGTCGTCGCCGTCGTCGCCAATTTCTTGTTACTCCTCCTCCTCCTCTTCCTCTTCCTCTTCGTCCTCCTCCTGATCCTCATCATCCCCTTTTCTCCTTCTCTCCTTGTTTTCCTCAGCCACCGGTTCCTCCTCATAGTCCTCAGCACCTCTTCACATGGCCACATCCAGCCACCGATGGTCCTCCTCTTCCTCCTGCCCGTCCCCCCCCTCGGCCCTCCTCCCCCTCATTCTGCGTACATTCCTCCTCCACTTCCTCATCCTCTTCCTTCGCTCCTCTTCCTTTCATCCTGCTCTTTCTCTCCTTCCCCCCCCCACCTACCCCGCACACGGAAGCGCTCGCGCGGAGACAAGACGAGAATAATTGGAGGAGAAGGAGGAGGAGGAGGAGGAGGAGGAGGAGGAGGAGGAGGACAAGCAACAGTTGGGGAGGGATGAGGAGGAGGAGGAAGAGGATAAAAGGAGGACATGTAGCAGGTCAGAGGCACGTTGAACACAGGGTTCGACAGGGACAAACGAAGGCACAAGTGCCAGGAGAAAAGGTTTGCATTGCAGGGGGCGACGATGGTGTGTTACCAGCACTTGAGGTAAAGTTGTACTAGCCGTTAAATATGCAATCGGATTGCCTCACTCAGGGCAGGCAGGTCTGACAGTCTGTTCGCGGAAATGTTCGCAAACATGTGTTTCCCGCCTCTCGGTGCTCGACAAATGAATTTCTCATGATAGGCACGTGTTTGAAGAACACATGCGGCCCCATGTACTTGCAGAGATTCGGAGGAGGTTGCAGGGTTGCTGGTTTGGGGCAGGTTCGGGTTATTTGGGATGTAGGAAGAACCGGAAATTGACCAGTGGAGGAGTGGTTATGTGGGGAACGTTGCCGTTGATAGTGCATGACGTATTCGCGGCACTGAAAGCATTTAGCCGTTCAGCGTGCGAGAATAAGGTTGCTAATCTTTTTTATGTGATCGGTAGCAGCGGTACGTGGCGTTGACCAGCATGTTCCCACCAATTCTTGCGTGGGTCTTTAGCTCGGGTGCTCGTTGTCTTTGCACCTGCTCGCCCTGTTCATTGCACCTGCGTTGCCTCGTTGCTCGCGCGGGATAGAGGCGGGCACGGGCAAGTTGGAAGAATAAGCGGAGGCGAAGGGGGAGGAGGAAGAAGGGAAGGAGGCTCCTGGAGAACAAACTCCTCCTTGATCTGTCCCTTTTCCTCCTGCGTCGCGCCGCTGCGCCTCTTGGCCCCGAGCGCCTGGGGCGGCGCGCCGCTGCCAGCGAGGGCGCGCGGCGGCGCCCTGCCGCGATGGCGCCCAAGGCGCAGCCGAAAGTGCAGCCGAAGGCGACGCCGAAGGCGCCCGCCTGAGCTCGTCCTCCCCATCCTCCACTGCCCTCCTCGTTCCTCCTCGTTCCTCGTTCCTCCTCCCATTCGTTCTCCTCCCCCCCTCCTCCTCCTCCTCCTCTTCCTCCTCCTCCTCCTCCTCCTCCTCCTCCTCCTCCTCCTCCTCCTCCTCCCCCCCCTCCTCCTCCTCCTCCTCCTCCTCCTCCTCCCCCGGCCATAGCCATTTTGGCTCAAGGCCAAGATGGTTTCCAGATCACTGCCTTCACGGGGTAGGTTCCCACCAGCCTCAGCTTTTCTCGCGTTGCCACACCAAGGGGCGTGCAACGGCCCACCAGCTTTCATGCTTCTCGCACTGTCCTTGCAGGCGGCCCGTAATATCATCCAGATTCTCTCGCCACGCGTTGGTTCCGAACTTCCGCTGGCGGCTGGCGTGTTGTTCCGAGCACCATGCCCGGTTCTTCAGACGAGGACCGCAGCACGAGCCGCAGCCAGCATCGACGACGCAGAGGTGGTACCGAGCATCGCCGGGCCGCTGCAGCCTCTGACGCCCTCTCGCTCATGGCCTCTGGCGCAGAGAGACAGAGGACTGCCAGACTTGGACGCTTTTCGGCAAGATCCAACCCTGCAGACCTATGTGGCGGACAGCAACATGATCCAATGCAGCAGTCAAATCCATGGCGTCTCCCGCTTGACCTGGAGCAGCAGCGCAAGCTCGAGAGGGACCTGGAGGCATCCCCCACCTTCGCATCGCAAGCAGAAGGCGCCGAACACCATGCTGGCCAGGTTCCTGCCACACCAGTTGCTGGCCACCCCACACCAGTTGCTGACAGCCCTCCCGTTCGACTACTTGGGTTCCCTGCGGATCTCGACCGTGCCCTCCAGGACCTCATGCAGCAATAGGTGCCCCAGGCCGCGGACGCCTTCAAGCGGCAGGCCGAAATCCTCCTGGACCAATCCCGCGAAAGCTTTCGCCAGCTACTGCAACAACAAGTGTTTCAGACCGAGCGTTGGGTGGATTGCCTCCAGGGCCAGGTGGCGCATACCAAGCGCGAACAGGATCGCCAGACTGCTGACCAGAAGAAGATGTGGCCGGATATCGACCAGCTGCGAGGCACGCTCGCCTTCGCCGAGGCCTAGCTCCCCATCGCGGACCTCACCAGGCTCTCCGACTGGGGCCGCTATTCTCCATCGGAGCCCAGCGGATCACGTCGCCCAACGATGTCTTCAACGACCTGCACGCCTGGATCGCAGACGCTGGCCTCCAGCCCGACCAAGTGGAGCTCCACGTTGACGAACCCGCCAGGCGCTTCGTCCTCCAGGTCAAGGGCGCAAACGAGGTGGGCATTCCGCGCGCTCTCGCTCGCCAACGAGTTCTACGAGATGTTGCCGGCAAGTGGAAGCGCTTCCATTCTTCCGACACCAACGGGCGGCGGACCGACATCTTCATCAACCCAGACAAGTCGCCCAAGCAGATCTGCACCGAGAGCCAGTGCAAGAAGCTCCAGCAGCTCCTCGCCCAGCGACTTCCACACCTGCGATGGCGCGCATTCCGAGCGAAGGGCGAGTTCTTCTGCGACGCCGCAGCGCTGGCGCGCCTCAACCACAAGGGCCAGCCCGACCCCACCATCCTCGAGTGGAACGAGCGCGCGCTGGAGAACCCAGATCTCATGGGCCTCAACCGCGGCGCCGTTCTCACAGCCTTCCAGGCCCTCTTCGCAGACACCGAGGCTGCAACGTGGCGTTCCTAGCCACCCATGGGCCCCGTGGCGAGAAGCGGACACGCCCCTGCCGCCCACCTTGATCAGCTGGAACGCCCGCGCCTTCATGCGCCACAGGCGCCGCCGGCGCCGTCGCAAGCAAGCCGCCCTCACCAAGCACATGCGCAGCGAGCACGTCATCCTGCCACAGGAGGTCCAGGGCTCCGGGGCGCTCTTCCGCACATGGCTGAACACGCAACCGCGCCCGTAGAAGCTCTTCTTCTCCGAGTTCGCGGCCAGCGCCGAGGACGGCCCATCTCCTTCAGATGTCACGGGCCCCTTTGCGCCTTGGTTTGTAAGAATGTAAGATTTGTCGTTTTTTTGTCTGATCGCATTGTCCCTCACTCGTGTGTGATGATGTACCTTGTCTATGGTTTCTATTTCAATTTTATCTGGTTCACGATCACAGCCCATCTGAATTGCATTCGCATTGTAGCCGATGCGCTCCCAAGAGCAATTCTCTTGTATCAACAATGTCCCCCTCCTGATCATTATTGGTTTCCCCCCGTCCTCTTCCTCCTCCGTATTTTTTGGCTCAAATGTGTTGTGGCTGTGGCTATCCACCTTGCTTCATCATGCTCGCTGCGTGGCTCGCCGCTGACAGCGGGGGTGATGCGGCGGACGCGGCCGTCGAGGAGGCCGACGCCGCGGGCTGTCTCGCGGCGTGGCGCGCAGGCGGCGGCGCGGCCGCCGACGCGGCCGTCGAGGAGGCCGACGCCGGCGGCCTCGCGGCGCGGCGCACAGGCGGCGGCGCGGCCGCGGCCGCCGCTGGCGCAGCCGACGGAGGCGCGGAGCAGGCAGTCGAGGCCGCCGCGGCCGTCGGCGACGGCACCGCGGAGGCGGCGCTGCTGGCGGCGGCCTTGCCCGAGGGGCTGGACCGCCAGTTCCGCTCGGCAGGCGCGTGGCGGAAGGGGGCCGCGGCCCTCGTCCGCGGTCTGCTGGCAGGTCTTAGGGCAACCTAGAATTGAGGGGCGGGTGCAATTTTGGGGCAACTCAGTTTTGGGTCGTTTGGGAGCCGTCTTGGGCACTATTGGCCGTCGTCTTGTTTGGGCGTCGCCTCGGAATATAGTTTGGCCATCGTCGGCCGACTTGGAGCCACCTAGGGCGACCTCTTGGATGCGCCGCTCTTGCCTTCAGCACTTGCCCCCGTGGCCGTTTAGGTTCTGGCGCTGTGCGCGTCTCCGCCGACCAATCCAGAAACGATATATTCGATGAGGCGTGGGAGCACGCGCCAATAGAAATATCGGCGCCGACCGCGACATTGCACATGGGATCCGCGCGGTAGTTAGAAACAAAGTTAGGCCAAAGCGGGCGCGTGGGCGCCAGAACGGGCAGTGCGCGGTGTCGTGAGGTCTCTCAGGGGACCTGTCGTGGAGCTATTGGCCAAGGGATGCGACTGGGCCCATCGGGAGCATTATTGGGGACTTTTTGTGCGGGGTCGCGGGGCCATCTTGGGCGCCTTGGGGCGGTGCTGCATGCTTGTGGGACTGTCGGCACGCTTTGGTCCTCTTAGCGGGTTGGCGGACTAGGCAGGCGGGGGGGTCCTCGATCCCGCGCCCTCCTGAGGTCACGACGCTGCCGCTGGCGCGGCCCGAGGTTCCCCCCAGCACGTGGAGTCGGTTGGCCAGGCCGTGAGCGCAATCGTGTGCATGGCCGCCGCCAACCAACAATTGCCCCTTGATGATGCTGAATCAGCTCGTATCGTAGGCCTCGTCTCGTCCACAGAGGTTTGCACCAAGGGGAGTTTCAAGACCCAGGGAGAGGAGCACGGCGTTGACCGCCGAACCCTGCGGGGCATGAAGTGTTTGTTCTCGATTTGCTCGCTAGTGTTGCACATTTTCATGGTGAAACTTTTGATCACAACCGTCATTGTAGATGTGATGAGACAGTTGGGGCGCGTCGTGTGCGCGATATTCACCACTCGGTATGATGAGACCCCAATGTCGGTGATTGTTCCAGAGAATGCTAGTGACTCCATTCTGCCTCCAGGTTTCGAGCATCTTGCCAGCGCGCTGGCTGCTGATGATCCGTTCTGGCGCGTAGGCGCTGCTAGAGATAAGGCCCCGACTAAGCTGTTGCAGGTGGAATGTTCGATGTCGTTGCTGGTTCATGTAAATGGCACGTACACTGTGTTTACGTTCGACGTGCCCGTGCCGATTTTAAATGTTGGGAGGTGCACGGCCGAGTGTTATTTTATCGCTTGCCGATTCGTCATGCAATTTGTGGGGTGGGACGCTATTGCTGCTCTGTGCAAGAGGGTATATCGCGTGAGCTGCACTGACGGTGATGCTGCCATTGCACGCGCAGAGCGCGCGCTTGAGCATGTGCTCGGCGCGCCGTCGTTGCGCCTCCTGTGTTTTGCCCACAAGGGCGCGACTGTGCGGGAACGCTCGGCAGTTCCTCTGAGGCTTGCTCACAGTTATATGGTGCATGCAGTGTTGTCGTTGAGATTTGGGAATCACAGAAAGGTGTTTCGAGCTGCAGCCCGATATGTCATCCTGGAACGCATGAAAATCATACGTGGCATGCCGTCCGCCGAGATGCGATGTGTTAACGAGAGGAAGCTTGACATGGTGCTCCCGAGAACAAAGGAGAACTTGTCATTGCGAGCCCTGTTGCTGGCCATGTGCGGCGGCGATTGGGACGATGAGGACGTCGTGGAGACGTATGTCCCAGCAGGGACGCCCGACGAGGTAGGCGACGCCAACATGTCAACGGCGCCGCACCGCGTCTGGCCGAGACAGACCCCGAGATTGGCATGACACCCCCCTTGCTTAAGCATGCGGGGTTCGACTAGTTTCTGGCGGCGGGCGGTCGGGGAGGGACTCTGGCGGCCTGGGAGCGGGTATGGGGGGGGTGGATGGGCGCCCATGCCAATCTCAGGGGGTACTCGGCTTGGCCAGGTGCGGGTTCGTTGGCAATTTGCCGTCGCCTGTTGTGTGGTCCAATCTCGTTTTGTGTTCAGGTTCGTTGATGCCGTAGTCAATCGCGAGCTTCACAGTTATCCTGGGAGAGGCTGGACCTGCTGGGAGAAGGGGCCCTCGTGGATCGGTGTCCTAGCGGTCGTGCATGGCCTCTTTGACCCCATCTACCGACGCTTCTGTAAGTTGCTCAAAGACGACGGCGGGCCTGCTGGGCATGTCCCCGCTGCGGGGCCACCCGCTGCAATTCCCGCCCTCGCTGACGGGGGTGGCCCTGCGCCCGCCATCGCTGACGACGTCGGCGCGGGCGGCGGCGGAGCCCTTGGCGCGGCGC